ATGCTATTTAAAAATATAAATTATATATTTATAGTAGATCTGATATCATTACTAAACTGACATTTTTTAAATGATGAGGAATGACTATAATTTTCATAACAATTAATATTAAGCATGTATCTTATCCTCATCCCTTCAATCTAATTTGAGTAAACCAAGCAAGAGTGTAAAACGTAGTTTATGTTTGTTATATTCAGATTATTATGTTAGTTAACATATTCAGATTATTATGTTAGTTAACATATTCAGATTATTATGACTAAAAACATTTGAATGAAATTCATAATTCTCTTTTAAGAACATTCTAAAAATTAATTTATCCCTTAAATTTTCATACAAAGCTCAATAGTCGTTACTGAAATTTTCACTATTTATTTCTCTTGAGATTATTACCCAGTTGGCCTGTTGCCTTGTATACTATGTTATGTAGGTTCAAGATGTTGATGCAATATTAACAGTATAGGATGTTGACGGAAATTGTATGGTCCCACCTCAAAGCAGTGAGTGGCACTAGGCCACCACCAGCTTTAGAGACAAATTACTCTCAAAATTCTTCCCAAAAAGTATAGCGAGGCATTAGAATATTTGATATACATGCATTTTTTTCATATAAAATCCGGGGAAAGTTTCTTTTTTTTTTTTTTTTTGCCAAATAAACTTGTCTAAAGTTGTATCCAATGACGAGCTTTTTGCTTGAATCCACGAATTGTTTACAGACTACAAAACATTACTCCATAAATCAGCCTCATCAACACTATTATTTGCCGCGCGTATAGGTAACAGGCAACGGATATTATTGAGTCAATCATAACTAGCAAAATCTGACAGCAGACTGAAGAAAATATTGACTTAAGTTATTTGGTTGACATATTAAGTTATCGGCGAGTCACTGAAACAAATATATAATCTTATTTACATAACTTGTGCTCACCAAGCGTACTATATTAGATTAACTCTAATTCTCACCACAATGAAGATAAAAGTTTGAAACAGTCCTCCAAACAGCCAAACACAAAAAAATAAAAATAATGTATAATAGTGTTAAATGTAACTTTGGCAATAAAAATAAGAAAAAGAAAATTATATACCTTTTTTTTTCCTAATTCAAGGTATTTTGCTTTGTCAAAGTGTTCATCTATAACCATTTAGATGACCGTTATTTATTAAAAATATTAAAATTACTATCAATGTTATTAAACTTGATATGATCATTCACTCGGTCTTGTACTAGGTCATTCGTTGGAGCGATTGAAATAAATAGATATATAAGAATGTATAGTCCATATTCTAAATTCAAGAAAAAAATACTAACGCAAGCCAACACAATTTAACAAGTACATGTTAATCTTTTACGAGTTAAAAACTTAAATAACACAGGCTGTCACAAGTTTAAAACACAAACAATCAACCGTAAAGGTAATTCAGTTGGCAAATGAGTTTCCAAAGATTTGCTTAGGTCAGGAATTCAAATCTGTCTCAAGTAAATTCTTAAAAAATCTTTGGAGGTCAGAGGGGGATTAGTCTTATCTTTCCTCTGGTAACGAAGTTCAATACACCCGTTAGGCCGTACTCCACAATCACGTCTTAAAAAACGTGATATTCAATTTCCAAAAAAAAAAAAAAAAAAAAAACCGTAATATTCATATTGAAGTACAAATTAAAGCATACGATCATATATTTTTGTCTGACTGAACGAAGCAAGTTTTTACTTTTCAAAGCCAATAAAGATGAAGGTTGGAATTTCGTTAAGTGTGAAAGGAGTCAAGTTACTGCTCATACCACTATGCAGCACAATCATGATGGCTGCTAGGCAATTAATTCTGATTATAAAAATTCTCAGGTGATACAAGAATTTTGATTGGCCTGGTTCTATAAGTTCTTTGAAGGATATAAAACTTAAGGACCTGAGTTCCAGTTATCCCAAGATTCAGAATTTCTTAAAATTGTATTTCATATATTGGGAGTTTAACTACTTGTAAGATGGCAAAAAAATAATGTTACAGACCAGAGAATAATGTTTAGCTTTTCTTCTATTTTTGTTACATTTCTAACTAACATTGTGCATCTATCTCAGTTATCAGGACGCCTCCTAATAGCTTATGGTTAGACTGCTCTAGGGTTTTTTAGTCTACAAGTCATACACAGCAAAGTGATCTCTTTAGTTTTGGAGTTAATGCAAGAAATCCTCAATGGAGGAAAATCCTATGACAGGTGAGCAATCCCATTAGAAATTAACATACTTGCAGTTGAACATAAGCCACATTTAAAATGTAGGATTTGCTTCATTTGAAAGCTTAATTATAGGCCTTATCGGACCAAAATGTCAAAATTTTGGGCTAGTTCGTGCGCAGGCACAATTTTAATTAGAAAGCAGGTAGAATCTATAAATCAATTCTACCATTACTCAAGCAACCATGAATGTTAATATTTATACATATCCATCTTTAGAGTTATTTACACGATTCATGTCTATGCATCATAACCATCCTATAAGACATGATTTTCTTTAAAGGAATTGTTCAACCTGTGATGAAGGAATGATAAGTTGATATCTCTCTTCAAGTTGGAGGATAGAGGTAACGAATGTTTAACTTGCAAATTAAAAAATTAAATATTTTCATGTCCAATGTTTTACTAAAAAAAAATCCACAAAATATGGTTAGAAAGAAGGGGAAATATATTGTAACAAAGTTGTGTTACTACCATGTTACTACCAATCAATCTCACCGTTCGATCAATTATGTTGATCCAACGGTTATATTTATTTCTATCTTTGTGTGGTCATGATTTTCCAAATTTAATACTTTATATATATTTCCACCTTTGTATGGTTATGATTTCTCATATTTAATGCTTTCACTTTAAATATGGAGAATCATAACTATACAAAGATGGAAATAAATATAACCATTGGATCAACATAATCGATCGAACGGTGAGATTGATTGGTAGTAACATGGTAGTAACACAACTTGGTTGTTACAATATCTTTCCCATAGAAAGAAACCAAAAAAGAAAAAAAAAATGCTAAAATAACATCAACAAAAATGTCCTTCACTCGAATAATCATCAGCGGAAATGCCCTGTCAAGCTAATATATGCAACAAGAACTTATAATGTATGCCAAAACTAGAACAAATGAGTTTTGTTGAGAAAAAAAAAATTAAAGGGGACCATGGAAAACAAATGGGACGTTGGCAAAAGGTAACATAGAGCTCTCAATTCTGACGAACCCATCAATGAAATTGTTATGGAAAGATCACGAGGGTGAAACCTTTTTAATACCATATTAGAAATTCTATGGAATTCAGATGAATACATTTAATCCAAATAACTAAGCAACTAACAAATAAAAGGATAAAAATATATGTTTACGTAATTCAAATATTATCATTTCCTTATCCGTAATAAAAGAGAAGTGACTAATTATAGCTTACAATTGGTCTCTGTAGGTCCAAAGTTTAGAGTGATGTATTTTGCTTTGTGTTACTATTCAAAAAAGATGAATTCATCTACAAGGTGTTGCGATGAGTTGTATGCAAGAGGTAGAGGGTGCAAATGGCCAAAATTCCTTTGGTTATGATAAGTACGACGTATATCTAAATAATTGTGTGGAATATTTTACTTACAAATTACAAGTAAAATCCAATAGAAAGTACCTAGACAATTGAAAGGGATTTCAGCACGAAAAGAAGATTTGGTTTGCAAAAGCATGCAGCCCAACTTAAAGCCCATATCATAACATAAATTCATTTAGGATAGGATCTGTTCAATCCAATGTGTACAGCAGCATGACGTTAAAACTATATGACTAGAACCGTTCAAATCTTTCTTACCCAAAAAAGAAAAGGAGCCGCCCAAATCCCAGAATCAGTACAAATTTCATGTGAACGTCAGCACGCAATAGTCATATACGATTCACACCGTACCCATTACAAAACACGGGATCAATTTAATACCCGGGTTCACAGCAGCATTTCTGGGGCTTGTAAAAACTTCATGGTAAACTAAATAATTTTTTATGCTAAGGCTTCAAATGTTTAGTTTTTAACTTTCAAAACAAAAAAGCATACATATTTAGTACAATAACTCTTCAAAATTAATCCTCAGTAACATGCAGAAAAATGAAGTGAAATACTTGCGGGCTTATAAGGCCAAAGGCGATGACGAGTCTCAGAACTTGGTACCAAAGTGGAAAAAGGGGATAGATGTGCCGAAAGAGAGAAAAGAAATGCAAGGCTACCAGTTCAGTACACAAAAGTAATCAATTAGAGGCATGTGCTTTTGAGTTCCTACATTGATTTAAGATTTCCATTAAACAGCCAAGTAGCCTGCTCGGTCAGCAATAAATATTCTTCAAAAGTTCTAACCTATACCGAGGAAACAAGGCAGAAAACCCGGTGTTGTTAATGAGCAATCTAAACTAAATCAAACAACTGAAGCAAAGTGTAAATACGAGCTACAGATCCGAAATGAATAAACATAATCGTGCACTACAACAGACATGCCAACAGGAAGGAATGATGCTAAATCCTCCAAAACAAATAGCCTAATTTAAAGGATAACTGATTGTTTAATAGGATTCAGCATTACGCTTAAATATCAGAGTTTATTTGATTAACCAACCAGAAAAGGAATACCACAGTTTGTCCTCTTGAATAAGTTGCAAAGCTAAACACAACTATCAGTTCAAAACGGTTTGAGGAAAAGAGTTGATGCAGATCAAAGCCTAAATAAAAATCAATTTGTGTCTGCATCAAGGCTGAGGGTGGAAGCAATTAAGAACACATTGGCTTACCAAGAAACAAAAAGGCTAAGGTTTTTTTTCTTTTACTTTTGATTGGCATGTATACCTGATACACCATAAGATCATCATAGCAAATCGCCATAAAAACAATTCATAATGTCACTCTTTTCTAGATGAGGATAATCAAAATAAACACAACCATCGGAACAACAGGACAATGATAAATGCAAATCATATAAAAAAAATGCAAGAATAAGGCAGAGCAGATTTTGTCCATGATGTGTATAAATTAACACTAGGAAACAGAGTATATAGTCAATGATTTCAGAACTTAACAAAAGCCCTCTCCATTTCACTACGCCCAAAAAAAAAAACAAAAACCGAACAACTAATTGCTTATAATTTAAAGAAGCCCAGAGAAGCCACAACTAGAAAGACCCATCATGAAAAACCCTAACCCTCGTTTTAAAGCATAATCTTCAAATCAGAATACGAAAAGGACCCACAAAACACAAGACCAAGCCCCGACCCATCCAATAGAACCACAAAAGGAATGGGCAGAGACATTCAACACCATACTATTAGGTTAACGAGCATTGGAAGGGCAGTCCCTAGCAAAATGCCCGGACTCCCCACAGTTGTAGCAGCTCCCTCCGCCGCCGCCTCCTCCTCCTCCGTATCCTCCGCCACCGCCTCCGTATCTTCCACCTCCGCCTCCACCGCCGCCACTTCCTTGGTAACAGTCCCTAGCTATGTGACCCGACTCACCACAGTTGTAGCAAGCCGCTCCTCCACCGCCGCCGCCGCCGCCTCCATATCCACCTCTTCCGCCACCTCGTCCACCACCGCCACCGCGTCCTCCGCCGTAGCCCCTGCCTCCACCGCCAGGAGGAGCGGCGCGTCGGCTACCCTGAACAGATGATTCGTCAGGGCCAGTGACATCGACGGCCTTGGTGCGTCCATCGGGATCGGATTCGATAACGAATTCGACGGACTCACCTTCGCCGAGGCTGCGAAAGCCATCAGATCGGATGGAGGATTGATGCACAAAGAGATCCTCGCCGCCATCGTCGGTGGTTATGAAACCGAAACCCTTCTGGTCATTGAACCACTTCACCTTTCCAGAAACCCTATCACTCATCTCTTCGGATCTCTGAATCTCTCTCTCTCTCTCTCTCTCTCTCTCTCTCTCTCTATGTCACCCTCTGTCTAGGTCAAAACTATCTAAGGTGCGCAACTGCTCTTTATACTCAAATTTAGCATTGCTTCCTTTGTGAGGATGGGCCCGGCTTTTCCTGTTCTGCTAATCCCCATTTCAATAATCTACTTTCATTAATCCAACGGTAGTTGAATGGTCAGCGCTCTTCTCAATTTATATTTAATAAATCATTTTTTATTTTTATTTTACTTTTAATCGGTTTACTGAATTACTAAATGTAGAAGGCCAAAAAACAAATAAGTATTAATTGTTGTTACGCAAACAAAATAGCGGGTATTTTTCTATTATTCAGAGAAAAGCAGCAGCCAAAATTTTAAAATGCAAAATGTTCAGTTTTTATAGTAAAAAAATTTTAGACCTTTAAAATAAATTAAATTACTCTGAATTTAAATCTAGCCGGTTTTGCTTTAGTTTTAAGGTAGTGTTTGATTTTTTATTTTTTTATTTATATCTATTCGTTAGTTAATAACTATGAAAACATTACCTGCTTTTATTATGTTTTGCATTTTTAAAATTTGTAAGAAAATCAGTAAAAACACTACTTTCTCACTTTCATATTTTTTTTCACAAAAATTAAGCAAACTAAATATAATATGTTGTTTTTATAAATATTATTTGAAATAAATACATATATAAAAAAAATCGAACAGTCTCTTGATTTGTCTTTCTCCTATTGAAGTTTTGCATCCCACTTATAACTCCTTAAAAATATTGTTTTTATAAAATACCAGAAAGACGGTATCCAAATGATATAGAAATATTTTGAGTAAATACTCTTTTTCGTCCCTCACAATTTTCACGAGTCATATTTTAGTCCCGAACAATAAAAAAGGCTCATTTTAGTCCCTAATATTTGAAAAAAAAGGGCCACGTTTGTCCTTCCATTAGTTGGCATCTGACGGCCCAACTAACGGAGCACACGTGGACCGTTACTTTGCTGACTCACCGTAAGTATGCCAGCGTGGAAGTAATACGACGTCGTTTTATGTCTTCTTGGAGTTGTGGACAGCTGACCTTAGCATCGAAAGACCTATTTGGTCCTTAACACTAAAAAAATGGACATAAACATAGAAGTTGCAAGACATATTGCAGCAAACCACAAACCTTTCAAACCCAATCCAATGACCCTATTGCCAAACATCCTGGACAGCCCAGGGTTCACCTAAAGAACAAACTAATTAACCCATCCTTTTTCATATCATTATCAATAATATCAGAGCAGCTTTGATTCAGGGTTGCAGAGTGGCGAAATAGATTTATAGCATCTGCATCACCAAGGGGTTTCAAGAAGTATAGAGGGCTAAATCTTCTAATAGCGAATCTTGATGTCACTAAAATCATGTAGTTTGGGATTTGGAACACAAATTTCTGAACAAGAGATTCCGATCCCTTCCAAACATCATCCAGGACTAACAGTATTGGGCTTTTCACAATCTGTCCTAGCAAATTTTCCAATTGGTTGACCATGTCGTCGTCATTTTGAAACTCACGCTCCTGGTAACCTTTGTGTTGAAACAGTCTCTTCACTATGGTATTCAACTTGGGCGTTTTCCCAAAGGTGGCATAGAATATATTTTCCTTGAATTTACCTGACCAAATGTGACACGTGTAGAGGTCTGCAAGTAGGGGTGTTAACTGGCCGAGCCGAGCCGAGCTTTGGTCTTAAAAGGCTAAGCCTGTGATTAAATGTGTCGGTTTTACCAAGCCTGTTACCTGTTACGAATATAATTATCGGCCTGTGACCTGCCTTATTTACAAAAAATAAAAACCTGCCTGTTAGCCTGTTAGAAAAAATAAGACAATAAAAATTTATCCAAACAGAATATACGTCAACAACACTAGTAATTCCATAAATACTCATAAATTCAATGTATATCGAAACAACATAATATAGAACAAAATCATTCAAAAAGTCTGTTTAATTAATAAAATAGAGGTGAAATGGATTGAGAGGAGAGGAGAGAGAGAGCTATTACAAACAGGATAAAAAATATAAATAAAAATTAATATACTAGGCCAGCCTGAGAGGCTCTAAGGCCGAGCTTTTGAATTGGAGCCTGAGGCTTTTTTACTAAACGAGTTTTTATACAAGTCCAAGTCTGGTTCCAACAACCAATATTAGGCATGTAAGCTTGAGCCTTCACGAGCCGAGCCAAAGGCCTCTAAAAGGCCCCTGACTCATTTATCACCCCTATCTGCAAGATATTGGTATTTTTAAGGGTAGTTTTGGTATTTTTTTAAAAGACTACCTCCGCTAACTTTAACTTTGAATGGAAAATCAAGTTAGGGGGGTAAGTGATAAAAAAGTTTTAAGTAGGGGTGTAAATGATTAAAATTTTTCGGGAGGGAGTAAGTGATTCTGACTAAACTTTCAGAGGGTTTTTGAAGTTTTCCCAATTATATAAAAACAAAGATGAAGATATTGGTTTAAATGAAATAAAAAATTTCTTGTTAAATAAAGTGAATGTCGAATTTAATATCTTTGTAATATCAAAGAAAAATGACTAGAAACAAATATTTGGTACTTCTGTAATACCATACATCCTCTCTGAAAGAGTCAAAAGCTGGAACTTACGTAAAAATAAAAATAAACGTGTTAGTTTAAGGGTTTGGTGTTTGTCAATTTAAATGACATAAGTTATATCATTTTAGGAGAGAGTATACACAGAAAAATGGAAATCATGGAAAAGAGAAAATGGATTGTTTTTTTTAACTTAAAATTTAAATAAAATTCTTTTTTCTCTGTCTGTCTCTATCTTAAAAGGACAAAGTGTTATCTCATTTAAAATGCCTTTAGTTTAATTGAGATAAAAAATTTCTTTTGAAGAATAAAAAAGTATCGTAGTATGAAAGAAAAATTCCTGTGAACAAATTTAGGTAGTGTTTGGTTCAGGATTTTGGTTTACTTCCCCATCTATCTGAGTTTGGTATTATAGGTTGTCTTTGTTTGGTTCAAGAAAAATGAAAATTTCCCCAAGCAATCATGTTCCCCAACCTTCCAAGTTCACGTGCAAAGAAGTAAACAAAACACTGTCCAATTTGTCCACTTGCAACGTGGTATTTGTGTTTAGATGGGTAAGTGGCCAAAAGTTATTTTATTTTGTGACAAAGTTACCCTCCTCTGACTACGTCTTCTTTATCAAATATATGGCCAAAATTTCTATCCTTGCTTTCTTACAAGTTGTAAATGGAATGATTATTTTTGTCATTTCAACCCATTTCTCTATCATTATTTTATCTTCAACCAAACAAAGACTCATAAAATTTAACCCAATTTGTCTGGTAAAATTTTTGGCAACCAAATAACTTTTTTTTAACTTTCCTACCAAACTCACTTTCCTACCATATTCCTATTAATTGCATTTACCTAGTAAAAAAAATATCTCCTCAACCAGACACCCTCTTAGGTGGTGTTTGGCTCGCCATTTTTTAAAAGAAACCTATGCAAATGTAAGAAGGATTCTTGAAACGAGATGTTTCGTTTAGGGTGATTTAGTGAGAAAGCTATCCATCCAATTTGCATGGATTTTTAGATTTTGGAACGGAATGATAGGTTTATTTATTGTTGAGAAAGCGTTTTGGGAGGTGGGTTTTTGTTAAAAAGCTGGGTAATCTCACTGTTCACTCAAAATTTTCACTATATATTACCTCCAACCAAACATACATTCCCTAAAAGTTACCTAATTTTCCCAGTAAAGTTTTTCCCCAGCAAACTACTTTTTTTAACAATTTTCTATCTATCTCACTTTATCTCACTTTCTTACCATTTCCCTATCAATTCTATTTCCCTAGTATTCAAAAAATTTCTCCTCAACCAAACGCCCCTAAGGTACTCTTGGAATACTATACATCCTCCTAAAATTTCCTGCGAACAAATCTTTCAGGATTCGCTAGAACCTATATGCGGGTTCTAATGGTAGGTCCTGACATGACATGTGTTTGATATATGGTTTATTTGGATTTCGAGTGTTAAAGTGTGGAATTGAGGAGTGGATCCTTTCATGTGAAAAAATGGTCATGTGGTCATATTATTTGATCACAATCACTCATTGAAGATGAGATAAGAGAGAAAAATGTATAATCTTTAAATAATGGTTGTGATCAAATAACATGACCATATGACCACTTTTTCACATGAGAGGATCCACTCCCGTGGAATTGATCAATTGAATTTTTCTATTTTTTTTATATTTTTTCTTATTAGAATCATAGGTGGCTTTTTGCTTCAGAGTTTCTAAATACTTTCCTATGTATTTGAGGTTGGAAAACGGTGCAAGTCACGTTTGATAGAGAGAATTTATGATGCACAGACACTGACACAGGACACGGGACACGACACCACATGACACGCCGACTCGTTAATTCTAAAAAAAGGCATATTTTGACACGTTGGGACACGTTTTGATATTAAATAATATTTTTAATATATATAATATAATTTATATTTAATAGATATAATAGGCCATAATAAGTCATATAACCAATCAAATATTCAAATTTCATAACATAAATATAAACACAAATAATTTTTCGTACCTTGTTAATTTTTCATGTCAAATTTCATAACAGAAAAAAAATATTTATAATTTTTATTTTTATTTTTAGTTAATAAAACAAAATTAAGACTAAAAAAAACGTGCCCGAGTGTTGACCACGTGTCCGAAAAAGTTGATTGCGTGTCGAAAAAATGTGTCGGAGCGTGTCCGAACGTTGACCACGTGTCCCAGAATATTGACCGCGTGTCAGACGCGTGTCGGAGCGTGTCAGCCTGTGTTGAAATACTCCCATAGAGAAAGTTAATCCTTCGAATTTAGAAATACTCCCACGTAGGGGTGTTAACAGGCCGAGCCGAGCTAAGCTTTGGTCTTAAAAGGCTACGCCTGTGTTGAAATTTGTCAGCCTGACCAAGCCTGTTATCTGTTATAAATATAATTATTGGCCTATGGCATGATTTATTTACAAAAAATAAAAGCCTTATTTATCCTTTTTAAAAAAAACCAGACAACAA